GCGTATAAAGTTTCGATACCAAAATTCATTTATTATAAAAAGTAAAATAACTAATAGAAAACTATATCTATACATCCCGAATTGGAAGTTTCAAATTGTTTCCACCAGAGCGCGTTTTGTTAATCTGTACAACACTATACACACTGCGTGGTGTGCGTTTCAGTTATCATTATTGTGTTTATTATTATAACAGATATTATTATTAGAGTGATTTTAATTGTTTACTATAAGTTATAGTATAATCAGTTGGAAGGGTTGATTTTAAACGTATTAACAATTTTATTTACAAGTTTTTACGATTTTTTTTCCATTTTGATTTTGTTTTCTTGGTTTCGAATTCTATTATTTTTATCATGCGTGGACGTAAACCTAGTGTACCACATCAGGTGATCATCGATGCAGTAGTTTTATTTAAAGACCGAGTTATAGTTACTGACAGAGATGGTGTTAAACGTAAGTACCTACCTATTTTAATTACCTACTGGCATACTGTAATATCTATAATTATTTGGATCAACTTTTATATTAAATATTAAATAAAAATGTGATTTGATTAAAAAAGTAATAGAATAAAAAATGTTATATGAATAAAAATTATATTTGATTAAAAAATGTCATTTTAATAGAAAATGCCATTTGATTAAAAATAAAATATATTGAATAAAAAATGTAATTTTTTTTAAATTTTCTGATTTGAAAACAATTTCATGGTTGGTTTTATCTAATTTATTAATGTTTATTTTATAACAAAGATTTTAACGTTCTTGTAGTATGGAAGAAGTGTTGAGAATACTTCTCATCAATCATTAGGCACAGTAATTAGATAATTAGAAATTTAGAACTATGGTTGTTATATAAATTTATAAAACCCATAACTGTTTATAGTTAGTTAAAAAAATTTAGTTAAAATCATTTGTTAAGTGTGGAACAGTATTCATGAATATGATAAATGTGAAAATAATAAAATATGACATTGATTTAATAAAGATGTGCTTAAAGTTTTAATATGTATTTTTTTTTTTCTTTACAACATGGATTTATTGTATATTACAATACTTTTTATAATACATCAGAAGAGGTAAGTAAATAGCTACACAGTTACACTGTGCATACCTTATCTGGTATATGTTATATTATATACTCTTCATCGACAACGCTAGTATGAGACGTTAGTCAGTATGTACTGCCAAAGATATACATATTGATATTACTGTTGATAGATAATCAGCAAGTATGAGCTATATAAAAAAAATAAATTATATTTCATGTTTAAAGTTTATAATTTATTTATAGCATTTTCATTCTGACACTTATTAACTGTAATGTACTACCTATAAGATAATTATTATAAAAACAAAAACTGTAAAAACAGTTCATGATTTATAAAGACAAGGATAAATAATTATTCACCAACATTTGAATATTTTCATTACAATTAGAAGTAGCAGTCATTCTAAATGATGAGAAATCATCTTCATATTCACTTCCTTTATGTTATTCCATTGATTTTGAAGTTTGTGAAGTAGTATGTGCTGAGTCTTCTTCATCAATGTCTTCAATTAAATAATCAATTCAACGTTGCCTTATGGCTATCTTTTCCTGAGGTTTTGCCCAATTCAATTTAAAAATTTGGTACTAAAACCTCAGCATTTACAATTATTACAAGTGATATAATGGTGGAATGTTTTTAAGTAATAGGTGGTGAAATTTTAAAATTATATATATAGTAATAATTGTGTTAACCTTTGAGAGTGTCCTATACTTAAATCCCAGACTACAGATTTACAGTATTTAAGTTTTCCTATACCATCATAAGCTCTGTTAATTGGGTTTATAGTAGTTTATAACAAAAAACCAAACAGATTTGTTTATCTCCTTACAAATTAAAATATTAAGAATTAGGTCTTTTAACATGTAACTATATAAGAAGCAAAAATAGACAATACAGAATAGTAGTATAAAGTATTTATATGAAAATGTTTATATATAGGTAGTACATTTATAAAATTATACATAAATAAATAATTTATTATATTATAGGTACCTATAGTATAATATTATAATTTATTGGTAGTAATTTGGTATACACATTTATAATATTAATATAATAGGTAATATGTCATGTATAGATATTATAAAGAAGCCAATTAAGTAACTAAAAACATTATAATATTATAATATTAATAAAGAAGTTAAAGTCTAAAAACATACCTATGAAAAACAATCCAACAATATGCTGTTAAACAAACACATTCTACTGTTTTGAATTATATTTTGAATTCTTCAATTAAACTATTGAATAGAATTTATACATCACACATTAATGTTTTTCAAGATAGGTACTGGTAGTTTTGATGATATAACTTTGCAATAATCAATGAAAGCTGGGTGTTGTATAAGGGAAAATTGTGATACTGTGTTGATAATGAGCTTTTAATTTGCATTATTCAACTCGGTTTGGGTTAATTTTTTAATATAATTGTGTCCAACTTCACTGAGTTTCAATTGCTTGGAATGTTTCAAAGTACTAATGTCATCACAATTTATTTTTTTAAATGCTTTGTTTAAATAATTCAAACAATGAGAATGCAAAAGCTTAAAAAATTAAAATACAATTAATTTAGGTAGGTACATATAGGTTTAATTATTAACGTAATAAGAACATTTTTTTTAATGAATAGAATATAGTCAAATAGTTACAATCATTAACTTATTAATAGTTTTTAGAACCTCTATGTTATGTCATATGATAAAATGTATAAAATAATATAATTTTGAGTTTGTGAGGGGATGGGTGGGTGGGTAAAATTATTTCTTGCTATACCTGAAAAATATATCTTGTGCCACTGATGAGAAGTACAATTTAAGTGTATTAACTATTGATACTATTTTATAATTTAAAATATAAAAAATACATTTTATTTGATTTAAGATTTAACTTCAGTTGAACAAAGGACATAAATGTTGATCGATTTGCACACATGGTGATTAACCAAAACCAAAACCTAAGACTTTTATTATGGTTATTAAAACTGGTGAGCAAAACCATTAATATAAAAACATGGTTTTAACAACCAGAATCGGAATGGTCAGGACAACGGTCGTACGAATTCGTACAAATTCAGTTCTAAATGACTGCAAAGGAATTTTTCGGTTAAACGTA